ATTATATAATGAAGATCTTTTATTGCCTACAAAAATGATGAAAGAACTAAAAACATCGAAACCGAAAAAAAACAAGTTTTCGCCCTGAATTTCAGATCAAAGTGCTACAATTTTTGTATTTTATTATCTTGGAAATTGTTTGTTTGAATGATATCAACTTACTGAATCCAAACAACCATATTCTTTAAGCGGACAAGGTACAGTAATTTTGGTACATTCTTTTTGTTTGTGCTCATCAAGTCTAATTGTTGAAGTCAATATTTCTCCACAAAATTCACACATTGGATTTGGATGAGTTGTTTTTAGGTGCTCCTAAAATATGAAATCATCTTAGAACAAAAAATAATGAAAAGTTTTATTTTAAATTACAAATTAAATAATTTTTAAAAAATATTTAATTATTCTGATATGTATGACTACTATAATGAAAATAACTTTGATAAACTATGATTATTTTACCTCATAATCCTTAAATAAACCATTCCATTGGCATAATGAACATGTAATTAATAAAGATTTCATATCATTTCTGAAACCACGATCAGTCATTGTCTTTAAAATCAAAGAATTATTTCTCAAATAGAAAATAATTTGAAAAACTAACTTCGTCCTTTGGTGTTTCATCATGACATTCTGCACATTTAATAATTTCCCTTAATGAAAGAAATAGAATGCGCATTTGATACTAAACATTTATTAATAAATACCCTTCAATAGCTTCTATACACGTTTTACATTGACGATGACCACATAAAAGTTGACAAGGTTCTCGTAAAACCAAATTACACACTCGGCAAATGTACAATGGATTGATAGTATCTCTGTTTCTTGCGTCAAGACCAACCATACCTGAATAATACTGCAATATGAAAGAGAAGTATTTTTCACAAATTTAATGAGAAACGCTTACTTGTCTATGCTTTTTTGTATTCTTTTCAACTTCGATTGCATATATTGAATGTCCTACTATCGAAATAGATGATTAGGCTTAAGTTTTTTTCTTTTGATCAAGATAAAGAGTGCGACAGAGAAATTTGTCGATTTTTGACAGCTTATGTTCTCAAGTTAAGCTAAAGCATGAAGAATTTCGTGGAGATTTTATTAAAATGTTTGTTTTAAAATGAGTGTTTACTCTTTTCTTCTTATGTTAAAGGTGCTGGACGATGTGTGTGTTGGTAAGGGTTTGGGGTTTTTGTTTCCTTTAAAGCCACCCACACCCACACCTTAGATGACAATTCAAGAAATTCAGAAGAAATAAACAACGTCATTTTCATCTCTTATTGATTATTTTCTTTTCTATTCTGTATACTTTTCGTCGATGAACAAGATGCGATACTTATGAAGAAGTACTCTGTATTGCGCCTTGCAAAGAGACCTCAACAAGAGTAAACGAACTAAAATTGAATTAAGGAATGTCATTGATATAAAACCTAAAACATACTTCTGATATGCGATTGAACTCTAGATGGCTCACATTTTACTAGCAGATTTTGCTTCAGGTGTGCACTTTATTCATGGTTTCAAACTGATGTCCTATGCAATAATTCAGCTATCGAAAAATTCTAATTTTAGTTTACAATTAGATGAGACATTTTCTATGAGGTGAACGTTTTTGTACGTGTTTTCAACAAAAAACATTTCGGCTAGGCTGCTTTCTTTAATTTTTACCGAAGTGATTCATTGCACAACTGTGGGTGACGTTACAACAAGGGTATGTCGGTGCTTCTAATGTACATATGATCATTGTGTTACTTTTCTAGTTCACCACCGTATCATGT